ACTTTCCCCCTATCTTGGTCACTTAACTCATTCTTGTATGCTTTCTCTTTTTAAAGTCCATAGTCTTGGGTTAGCAAAGAGGAAAGATGGAGTGGTGAGTGTAACAGTATGATGTATATTTGCAAATAAACAAATAATTTTATTTCCAAGTGGAACTAAAGTCATAATTGTAAAGTCAGGCAGGGAATCTTGCTCTTTATGACTTATGGTATAATGTTCAAAGGGACACATATGAAAAACATTTCTTCAAATCTTCTGCTTTGATTTCCTAAAGTACAAGGAACCCCAAATAAAATTTTAGATTAATTGATCATTTTGGCTAGTATGACTGTTTCCTCAACAGTTTCTAGAGCGAGCTCAGAAAATAGGTCAATTTTCAAAGGCTGTAATAAATTCAAACACAGTAGTATCCAGACACACCCCCAAATAAGCCATTATGAAATAGCTTTAAGATAACTTTTTACAATGTCTTAAATATTCTGACAATAACAAAAACAACAAAAAGTCCATAAACAGTTTACAAGTAAAGCATTCTTAATGAATACAGTTAAGATTTCTTATCAGTGAGGTAACAGGGCAGTAGTTTCACAGTAACAAAACATGGAAGAGGGTGGAGGGAAGAAGGAGGTAGAGATAAGAAGGCTTAGGATTAAATGTATCCAAGCAGAATTTGGATTTTTCAAGCATTACAAACATCAGTGGAAAGTATCAATAGCAGCAGTTCATAGAACAATTTCTCCATTAGATTCCAACTACCATCAATCTATCAGTTCCAGAAGCATCTTGCTTAAGAAATAGGAGGTCTATGTCCTATACGCAGACATTCTAAACTACCTAGTCTCCCCAGATCTCTCTTCTGAAGTTATTGTATCTACATAACAATGTTTTATATTTAAAGTAAAATCCCAACTACATTGTAATGTTATACATTCTTCAAAATGAACACAATTGTGTTCAAGTCTCAATCTGTACAGTCAAATTATAAATAACATACAAGGAAGTGTGGGTGTGGCTCAAGAGTACCAGCCATAAACGAAAAAGCTGAGCAAGAGCTTAAGGCCTTGAGTTCAAGCTCCAGTACTGTAACAAGCACACAAGCACACAACGTGGTACGCACACACACATATATATACACACACACACACACACACACCAAGCAGCTTTATTCATTGTACTCATATATCTCTTACACACACACACACACACTCTCTCCCTCTCTCTCTCTCTCTCTCTCTCTCTCTCCAAGCAGATCTTTATTCATTGCACTCATGTATCTACTGTTCAAAATATACAAAAATTATTTTGTGAGCTAAATAAATTCTTCGGGATGTGGAGTGAAACCCCAAAGTCACAAAGAGCGCTCTTCATAACATCATTCTTGATCCAGCCTGAATTTAGAAGGAAGGAACCTTTGAAAGGCCTTTTAGTATATCCTTTAATATCTAAAAATTTCCCTCAACAGTTAAAAGAAAAGAAGCTTTCAAACAGGAGATTTTTATGACAATTTCTTCCCAAGAAATTCTTCACCCTGCTTTAAAAAAAATTTATTCTATTTTTTTGAGACAGGGTCTCACTATGTAGCCCAGGTTGGCTTTGAATTCATGATCCTCCTGCCTCAGGGTCCAGTGCTAGGATTACAGGCTTAGGCCTGTCTTACTATTATTATTTTTTAAATATATCTTCCCTCTGGTCAGTCCTCAGTGGAGACTGGGAACAGCATAGCATCAATACTTCTTATTCTGAACCCTTCCATAGAAGTCTGCATTAATATGACTTAGTAATCCATCTCAATAGCTTCCTCCTCTTTCAGAGTTAAATGGCCTTACTTCCTTGAACTTTTTCATAGTTTGTTTTTTTTTCTGCTCTTATCTCCTCTCAGGTTCTTGCACAATTCTGTTAACCCAACAAGAATTGAATTGATAGCAGAAATATTTTTCCTTACCTCCTAAAACCTGGCTTCTTCTTAGGAATCACTAAAGAAAAAAAGCAATAGGTTTATCATAACAACAAATAAACTCAGGTAAACAATGTTATACACATATCCCTTTTATTTATTTACTTTTTTAAGTTTTGCTGGTCCTGGTGCTTCAACTCAGGGTTAGGGCTCTGTCCCTGACCTTTTTTGCTCAAGACTAGTGCTCTACTACTTGAGCCACAGCCCCACTTCTAGTTTTTCTTTTTTGTAGTTTAGTGGCAGTAAGAGTTGATGGACCTTCCTGCCTGGGCTGGCTTTGAACTTTGATCTTAGATCTCAGCCTCTTGAGTAGCTAGGAATTACATGCATAAACTACAGACATCCAGCTATTCCTTATCTTTATGGTATTAGGTCTGTCCTTCAAAAAAAGCATTCCCAGCGCTGATTTTATTTATTTATATTGTTTACTTTGCTTAAGCTTTGATGTTGCTCTACTAATCCAGCCTGCCTGCCTATCTTCCTTCCTTCCTTCCTTCTTTTCCTTCCTTCCTGCCCTCCCACCCTCCCTCCTTTTCTCCCTCCTTTTGTAGTACTGGAGATTGAACTCAGGTCCTTGTACATGCTAGACAACCACTCTACCACTGAACCACATCTCTTGTCTAATTCTTTTCTTTTCCTCAGAGGTCCAGAAAATGTCAGTTTAATTTACATGTTTAAGAAGGATACACTCAGTTCCATGTTACTGAAAGAGATAGATAGATAATGTAGTGTCCAAGGCTGAGAGCCATAGGCCAGCACCCCCTGCCTCTTGGGCGGTCATTGAATCTATCCTGTTAGGCAGTGGGCACTTAAGTCATGTTAAATATGCTCAGACCCGTGAGTTTGGAAAGAATCAAAGCTATACACTTTGGGAACCTTTAAAATTTTTGGTAGCTTTAACTTTGGATTTTGAACTTTTTGAGATAAGAACCCAAACTTCAGAAACTTTTAATCTTCATTAAGATAACTCACATGTTGTATTATATTAAAGCCCACAAACATAACTGTTGTCTTCATAAAAGAATGACAGTGATGACATGGTGTTAGTGATTATGATGGGCTATCCTAGCATTCAGCTTCATTTTGTTCTTCAGTCACTGAAACAAAGATACTAAAACCAAATACACAATTATATATATATGTATATATATACATATATATACATATATATATATATATGTTCATACCACTTTGTAGAATATAAACCATTTCCTAAATTACAATCTAGATGCCTAAGAGACAATAAAATAACAACCAAAACATTTTACACATTTTTGAATAAAACAAAAAATTCTACATATTTCTTTTTCAGTGCAAAAGCTTTGAAAATAAACAACTCATATAGAAAAATGGTGTTCTAAGGTTAGCTAACTATGACCTACAGTCATACAAAATCCAGCTACAAGAAAGGAACAAGTAACAATAGTGGCAAAACAATAATCAAAACTTATGTTTGAATTATATGAGCTCAATGAAAGTTAGATAGCTCAACAAACTAAACCACAATTCAATTAGTATTCTAATTGGTTCAGACTTTATAGTTTTATGTCTAGGAAATAAGACTATCTACTGCCAGTGCTTTCTCCTATAGGCATTGTTTTGTTACCTTATATACTACCCACAAGTATTCTGAAAACTATACATGAAAAAATAAGATTAAACAGCTCTTGTCTACTAAGTCTTTTCAGAAGACTAAAGAACCAACCAGCAGGAACTTCCCTTAAAATTTTTTCTATATTAAAAAAAGGTAGTACTCATGGGATCAGAAATTCTACAGAAACTAACAAGATCTTAAAGTATATTGGACATTAGTTTTATTTTAATTAATTTATTTTTTGTCAGTCGTGGGGCCTGAACTCTGGGCCTGGGTACTGTCCCTCAGCTTTTCAGCTCAAGGTGAGTGCTCTACCACTTGAGCCACAGCGCCACTTCTGGCTTTTCTGCTTATGTGGTGCTGAGGAATCAAAGCCAGGGTGCATGCAAGGCAAGCACTCTACCACTGAGCCACCTTCCCAGACTTGGGCATTAGTTTTAAACAGCAGTTTCAGTGTTTAAAAATATTTAAATTCTCCCATCTATGTTAAATAGGTCTGATGCTGCTTAGCTTAGGAGATTATGATTGTACTAAATACTTACTGGATGGCATAGCTGCAGAAAATATTTCATATTTTGATGTTCTTTTTCCTAGTAAAAATGAGCTTATTTCACTGGATAAAACAATGAATTTACTTACAAAATGTAATTGAAAAGTTAGAGCTCATTTCTCAGTTCAGATTGTTTTCTTTTAGCTGACATAATTCTAACACAAAGACTTAACTACAGTTACAGTAAGCCCACTTTTATTCAGGCCTTACAATCACAGGATTTTTAAAGTCAATAAATTCGTTTGATATTAGAGGAAGCACCTATGTAGTTTGAAAATTTTTCCTTAACTAGCTGAAACTTCACTGATAAATTATATTCAATGCAAAAACACTGTTTCACTTCAAACCAGACCCTGAGAAGGCACAGAGAAACTTGACAAAAACAAAGCCCACTAGGGTGTTGCCACTATTGTTTTATGTTCAGTAAACAATGGAGTCTTCAATACATCCAGTAAGTATACACTGCACCAAAAGCACCTGAAACAGAGGTGCAAAACCACATATTGTAACACCTATCTTAAACTAGAAATGCTAAATACTGTTTTTGTTTGTTTAAGATAGTATCTTGCTATGTATTCCAGGCTGATTCTGAACTTGCCTGGTTGCAACTTAAACTTCCCAAGTGCTGGGATTACGGGCATGCACCACTTCCTATGCCTGGTTTCTAATACATAAATTAATATTTATGAAATAACAATGAAACTTTTCTGCAATGATGTAGGAACATTTTGTTCTTTCAACTTTCATGAACTAATGTCCTTAACTAACTCTATTATTATATAACATTTATTTACCTTTTTTAACCATGCTATTCACAATTACAAGATACAGAACAAAGCCTAATTACACTTCAATATGAAAACTCACTTTTGTATTGTCTTTGTTAAAGGAAGAACAATGTCTCACTGTAACACTTTTAATGTAATGGACTTCATGAAAAGATTTGAATCATACCCTTCCAGACATTTTCATTTCAATGCTATACAGTTTGTTTAGCCACCTGAACAAAACAAAACAAAAAAACATAGGAAAGAAACAGGATACTTGGCCAGATGAGACAGTGCAAGAATGCTAACACAGGCTGAATGCATGGAGTTCCTGGAGGTTCTTTCCACACACCAGTGCAAAGTCAAGACAAGCTGCAGCGCCTACACGGAGCGCCAGATCAGGCCATTCTTATTGGGCTCCAGAAAATTTTCTACCAGAGCGTCAATGAGTTTCTTCAACTCCTCTTCCAGTAAGGCCGTGTCACTGGAAAGAGATTTAAGAGTTATGAAATTCTTTATCTTCATAGTCTTCACATTTTAAACATTATTTTTATACACCTAGTGGGGTCATTAATTAATTGGTAACCAAAAGAGAAATTCACTCAGTTAAAACAAAGTAAGATTATCTAAAAAATCATGCATAAAGAAAATATTAGTCATAAACTGAAATTGAACAGTGTTAACAGACATTCATTTACATGTGATACAGGATGATATCGAAAATGTATCTAAAGAAATCTAAGTAGGCAACTTCACAACTTTGAAAAACAATACTGGGATTACAATAAAATGGATTTCAGAAATACTCTGAAGGGCACTTAGTTTAAAAAATTAACTATAGGGGCTGGGAAGGTGGCTCAGTGGTAGAGCGCTTGCCTTGCATGCATGAGGCCCTGGGTTCGATTCCTCAGCACCACATAAGCAAAAAGAAAAAAGCCAGAAGTGGCGCTGTGGCTCAAGTGGTAAAGCACTAGCCTTGAGCTGAAGAGCTGAGAGATAGCGCCCAGGCCCAGAGTTCAGGCCCCACGACCGGACCCCCCCCCCCCCCAAAAAAAAAAAATTAACTATACACTTACTTATACCCTTCAAAATCATCACTGGGCTGCTATTACTCAAAAAAATCCCTAGGATGGTCTCCTTTAAACTGCCCCCACAGTCATTTTACAAACCACACAACAAATCATTTATTCATACTTTAAAATTCTCCTTCATTTTTTTTTTCTTTTGGTTGGTTGTGGGGCCTGAACTCTGGGCCTGGGCACTGGTGATGTTTGCATAGCTATGAATATATTAAAAACCACTGAATGCTAAATAGGTGGCTTATATTGTATATAAATCATATCTAAATAAAGCTTTAACAAATACATCTAAAAAATTAATTCTCACCTCTGGTCAGGTGATGCACACATCTCTGCATAATACTTTATCTTTGGTTCTGTCCCACTTGTCCGAAGAGTGGCAACACAGCCATTTTGAAAAGTAAATGTAATCATTTGGCTGTTTTTACTCACTGGCAGTATCTATGCAAAATGCAAGAACAGTTTAATTACACCTTGTGTCATTTTCATTTTCAAGAATTATGAAATACATTTCACTTATATGAAGCATCTAAAGGAGTATAATTAGTAGAAAAAGGGAGAATGAATGGTGGTTGCCAGGGACTGACATGGGATGAGAAGCAGTTGTTTGTACAGAGTGTCAATTTAGTGAGGTGAGAAAGTTCTAGAGATCTGGTACATAGGAATAGAAACACTACAGAAATGGAGAGGGAAAATGGCTAAGATGGCAAATAGTATGCTGTATATCTTGACAATTAGAATTTTTTTTCAAAAAATTTTGATACAGGGTCTTTCTATATAGTCCAGGTTGCCCTCAAACTTGTGATCCTCCTAACTTGGCCTCCTGAATGCTGGGATTACAGGCATGTGCCACCATGTCCCACTTTTAGAAATTTTTTTCTTAGGGATCAACATAGTGACTTACACTCAGCCCCTAGGAGGATTACAATTCAAGGCTAGCCCCAGGGAAAAAATGTGAGGCTCTATCTAAAAAATAACCTCAAGCAAAGAGGTGTGAGTTAAGTAGCAGAGCATCTGCTGAATAAGAGCTAGGCCCTGAGTTCAAACACAAGTACCATCAAAAAAATAATTTCAAGCTGGGTGCTAGTGGCTAACGTCTATAATCCTAGCTACTCAGGAGGCTGAGATCTGAGGATCGAGGTTCAAAGCCAGCCCCAGCAGGAAAGTTGGTAAGATTTTTATCTCCAATTAACCACCAGAAAACTGGAAGTGACGCCGTGGCTCAAAATGGTAGAATGCTAGCCTTGAGCTGAAGAGCTCAGGGACAGCGCCCAGGCCCAGAGTTCAAGCCCCACGACCAAAAAAAAAAAAAAAAAAAAAATCTTAAAATTAAAAAGAATTATAAAATATGAAAGAGGTTTAACTGGATAGTAACTTGCACAGGCAGGAGGATTTCAAGTTTGAGGGTAGGTCAGGCAAAGTTAAGTGAGATTCTAACTAAAAAACAAAAACAAAAGGGCTGGGTGTGTGATTCAAGTAGTAGAATAATGCTTGCTTACCAAGCATGATACCTTAAGGTTCAATTTCTAATATAATTAAATAAATAAGGAAATAAGCAAGCTTGACAGTCTAAAGTATCTCCAGATTTGCAAAGCACATTCACAAACAGTTTATAAGTGATTCTCCAAAGAGGAGTGCACATATCCTAATAGATATGCAAGATAATACTGTGTACAGGGGGAAAAAAACCTATATTTTAAAATTTTTATTAATATATATTTCTATTGTAAAGATACTGAACAAAGGGGTTACAGTTACATGAGTAAGATTATGAGTATATTTCCTATTGAGGATTAAAACCCTATATTTTTAAATAAAAAATTGAAAAACAAATAAAGATTTACTGGCATGGAATAAACAGACAAACATGGGTACTTTTCCTAGTCTACCTGTTGAGGTGTCTTGAAAAGACCGTGGGTCTGTTTGAGGATAGAGGAATTACAATAGTACTTTCCCTCAGATGTTCTAGCCACAGTCCTGTCCCTGAGAGTTCTTTCTCCATAAATCCATTACTATACACTAGTCATCTGAAAAAGGTCTTCTTTTTCCTCTTTCTCTCTTTCTTTTTAGGCAATACTAGGGTTTGAACTCAGGGCCTCATACTTGCCAGACAGGTGAACTTACTGTTGAGTTTTTTTCTAAAGCATTTTTTATTAGTTTATAATTGTTATACACAGAAGGATTTCATGGTTGGCTGATTATTTTGAAATAGATAATCAACTAGGGAAACAAGCATGTACCACCACATCTAGCTCTTCACTGAGACATTTCATGACCTTTTTTGCCTAGGCTGGCCTCCAAACATGATCTTTCCAAAATCAGCCTCCCAGGATAGGTAGGATTACAGGCATAAGCCACCAGTGTCCTGCTTTCCTTTTCTTCTTTACTCACAGACCATCAACCAGAAAGTACTGTCTCAAAAACAAAAGGGCTAGGAACATATCTCAAGTGGAAGAATGTTATCTAAGAAGCACAAAGCCCTGGGGTTCAATCTCCAGTACTGCAAAATAAGTAACTAGATAACTTGTCAAAAGAAGCTTCCAAAAGCTGGTGGCTCATACCTATAATCCTAGCTACTCAGCAGGCTAAAATATGAGGATCATAGTTCAAAGCCCACTCAGGCAGTAAAGTCCACGAGACCCTTATCTCTAATAAACTACCAAAAAAGCCAGAAGTGGAGCTATGGCTCAAGTGGTAGAGTGCTAGCTTTGTGCAAAAGAAGCCCAGGGACAGAGACCAGGCCCTGAGTTCAAGCCCCAGGACTGGCAAAAAAAAAAAAATTCCTTTCTTGTTGAAATAAGAAATACTTACTGATTTCTTGTTTGGCTGGCTGCTGTCATATCCAGTAGTAATATCCCGTACATGCAATATTGCAAATGTTCCACAAAATTTTGGATATTCTTTTGGAGATTCAAAATTGCGAAGCCTTTCAAATATACTTTTGATAGTAGGTGGATCATAACACAAGAAATAGGAAGTTTTTGACAGGTGATAACCATATCTGTACAAAGATTTAAAGTACTGAAATCAGATTTCAGGTAACTGTTAGATATGAGCATATTAAAGGTAAGCCTATTATAATACTACATAGAAAGCAGCAGACCCTATTTCAGATAATTTTAATACTTAAATAAACAAGAACTACTCTTCCTAAACAAATTTAGAAAACTAAAAAATGTAGGACCAAAAAAATAAAAAATTTTAAGTAAAGAAAAAGGAAGAAAGATCCCACATGTAAAAAAATCATAATAGAACTTACATCTCATAAATTTTTCTCAGTTGCTCCTTCAAGGTTACATTCCTAGTTTCCAGATAAGATGCCATCTCAGCAACAACAACAGCTGCACTTACCCCATCTTTATCCAAAACTGAGGTTCCACACAGGAAACCTACAAATTAAAGAACATCTTTAGAAAAGGAGAAAATTTAAGCCTACAATTTCAGTAAGTTTATTTTTTTCTTTTTCCAGAAGCACAAGTAAAGTTAAGAGCTTAGCAATAAGCCAGGTATGAGAATGCACATAATTGGTGAGTAATTGAAGAGTCTCACAGACTTTGCTGCCTAGGCTAGCTTTGAACCACGATCCTCAGCACCTGGTTCCAGGTCTACATGGACTATACAGCAAGACCTTGTCACAAAACAAAACAAAACCACGTATCATACCACACCATACCACAAAAGCTTAGTAATAGAGGGAACCCTTCAATACTGAATGTACTCAGGAGACCTGTATGTTCTGTTTTCTTATGGAAAAATGCATCTAAATATTTTCCCATTCTTTGAAGGTTTTTTTTTTTTGTCTGTTTGTTTGTTTTTGCCAGTCTTGGGGCTTGAACTCAGGGTTTATGCACTGTCCCTGCACTTCTTTTGGTCAAGGATAGCACTCTACTACTTGAGCCACAGTGCCACTTTCAGCTTTTTCTGCTTATGTAGTACTAAGGCCTTGAACTCAGGGCTTCATGCATGCTAGGCACCACTCTACCATCAAGCCACATTCCCAGTCCTCTCTGAAGTTTTTACAACTCAAAATTTAAAACCAAATGCAAAAGTTCCTCTCTAGAGAATTGTGTTTTTTAAAATGCTCTCAATCAACAGAAAAGACGTTAATATTTACTACATACCAATAGACTCTTCAAATGCAAAAAGGACTTCTTTCCCATTTTCCAGGAGGTTTTTTATCCTACTTCCAATCCATTTAAAGCCCGGTAAAGTGTCCTGAAATGCAGAGGAAGCCACTCTATTAATAAATGGCTTTTCTCTCATCACTAAATGCACATAACATATATTGTCATCTTCTGTTAAGCTCCTTAGTTCACAAATACAGTGGTAGACATCTAGTCATATAGTACCATAACTACACATATTGCCCCTCCTGCTGACTACCATTTATACAGCACAGCAATAAATGATTTACATTAAATACAACCCAAGGTTTATAAATGATAATGAATATAATTACAAAATAACATAAATATATATGTTAGAATTATCTACTATTTTACTACTCTAATAGGTAATTTACACTATTATCTTTTCTAATGCTTATAAACACTGTTACCACAACAGCCTCAGTGCTCAGGTAAATTTGACCAAGATGGTTCAGTTACACTGATTCTCTGAAACTGTCCTTTATGCTGCATTTTAAGCATTAAGATGGTGCCTGTGAAGGCTGTGTTTTAGTCTCCAAAATCATCAAAAGCCATTAAGCTTTTAGTGATGGAACATTATCACTACATAGGACCCAGTGTACCTTTTCTTAACATCATGGGCTAAATAAAGCCACCAAGACAGTTATTGGGTTCTTCTTTAATAATTAAATTTGAGGGTTTTTCCTCTGATGAGCTACCGCTTACTTTCAAAGGCATGTCTTATTCTACAGTTCACAGAAAGAACACTAATTCAAGATACACACTAATTCTAGAGTTTACTAACACATCTAACTTTCTTGATTCACTTTTTTACCATCTCATCAAACAGGAAAAATTAAAGTCAATTGTACTCCCAATAAAAACAAATTTGTTATATTGGTCTTTAGAATCATGTTCTTCTTCAGTTTTGTGCTCATGATATTTTTTTGCTATAAACAAGAAAAACATTATAACTCAGAATCTTAGGCTTGAAAAAATTTTAATAGCTTTCAGTTTGCGATTTGTGTTTCTGAGAGTCTAATATTGAAAATTCTATTTCATAAAGACAAGTACAATGTACTTTTGCTCATGTAATCAGTATTATGATCTGCAGGTTGACTATGGCTCTAGAAAAATGCCCAGAGGTAACACTTTTTTATTTTGAATGCTGGTCCTGGGGCCTGGACTCAGGGTCTTGGTGTCTCACAAACTTTACTGCTTGGGCTAGCTTCAAACCTTGATCCTCAGATCTCAGCATCCTGAGTAGGTAGCATATGCATAAGCCACCAGTGCCCAGCTCGAGGTGACATTTTTTACAAATGTTTAGCAAGATAGCAGAGGAAACACAACTTAAGTAGCTGCAAAAAATGGTCACTAACTGCCTGAGGTTTCACAAAGACTATGATCAGGGCTGAGAGAAACTCACTACTTACTTTTTTTTTTTTTTTGGATGTAGAATCACTGTATCTTAATTTGTCACTTAGAAATCTACTTAAGTGTTCATAACACATGTACTACAAAGGGACACTACAAAGGGACAATGATACCTGTAAGTTTTCAGAGTGAACTCTATATGCTACTGATGAGGTCCCAGGAAACAGATTTTCCCAACCTGAAAATAAAGTATTACTGTACGACTAAGTGTTAATATAATTTTTGAAGAATGTTTTTTGTCTTAGTCAAAAGTTATATATTCGATTAACTTGTCTCAGGGTGTTTAAATTATCAAAAGTACTAAATAATATAAACAGAATTAGAAAAATGACAAATTATAAATAAATCAATGAAAGTTATGGTAGAAAGATGTCCTTACAGAAATAGGCTTAGTAAGATAGCACATACATATGATCCATTCTTACTTCGAAATGAAATCCTTCCTTAAGGGCAATTGCCTTCAAAATTTTAGAAGAGACAGTGGTGGCTAACATATAAATGTTCTTCACATCAGCATTTGTTGATCTATTCTTCTTCCAGCAGTCAAACATCCACCACCCAAACAAAGCAGCCAACTCATTCCCAGTGAAAATTTTCCAATGACCACTGTAGAGAGAATGAAAATTCAAAACCAAGACCTTTCTAGCTTCTTATTAAAACCACCATCCTTCATATGGGAAAATATTTAATGCCACTGACTTTATAAATGACCAGCATGACCTTTATAGGAGAAGTGGTTGCAACAACTTTTGGAAAATTATTACATTGTTACTTTGATTCTATTTCATAAAAAAATTATGATAAATGTTTAAGTCTATGTGAAGATACTGTCACCTCATAATGATAAAAATACATAGCAACCAAGGGGATAAGATTAAAAAATGAAGTCAGGTGCTGCTGGCTTTAATCCTAGCTACTCAGGAGGCTGAGTTGTAAGGATAGTGGTTCAAAGGCAGTCTGGACAGGAAAGTCGGTGATACTATTATCTCCAATTAATCACAAAAAAAGCTGGAAGTGGTGTTATAGCTCAAGTGTAGAGTGCTAGCCTTGAACATAAAGAACTCTGGGACAGTGCCTGGCCCTGAGTTCAAGGCCCAGGACCAGCACAAAAAGAAATAAGATTAAGAATTGATTAAACTTATAAAGCTTTTTGTAATGCTGCACTGTTTTTAAAATTAATATTTTCAAACAATGTATAAGGACAGAGAAAATGTTCACAATATATTTGAAGTAGCAGTGATATAAAAGTATGTCTTTACAATTTTATAAAAACAAATACATCTTTATTTGGATAGGAAAAAAGAGGAAGGAGTTAGAAGCTAGTGGCTCATGTCTATAATTCTGATTACTTAAGAGGCTGCAACTGAGAGGATTGTAGTTTGAGGCCATCCTAGGAAGAAACATTTATGAGACCCTTCTCATAAACTCCCTCAGGTGGGAGCAGTGGCATGTCCCTCTGACAGGGAAGCCTAAAATAAGTGTATTGTGATCCAGGCACACCCACATAGAAACCAGCCCTCTCAAAAATAATCAGTATATTAAAAGGATGGAGGTGTGGCTTATCAGTAGAGCTGAATTTGCTCAGAGCTGAGGCTCTGAGTCCAAGCCCAATATGGCAAAAAGGAGAAAAAAGATAAGAAGAAAATGTGAAAATATCAACTTTTGCATACAAAACATTTATGTCTTTTTTTTTTTTTTTTTTTTTTGTCGGTCATGGGGCTTGAACTCTGGGCTTGGGTGCTGTCCTGCACTCTACCGCTTGAGCCACAGTGCCACTTTCAGTTTTCTAGTAGTTTTTACTACTAGAGTTGTAAGGTCTGAACAACCTATTTAATATACCTTACAAGAGTCACACGGACTTTCCTGCCCAGGCTGGCTTTGAACTGTGATCCTCAGATCTCAGCCCCCTGAGTAGCTAGGATTACAGGCATGAGCCACCGGCGCCTGGCTAAATTTATACCTTTAAAAAAAAATATTTTCACTATTTCCAATGAGCCTATGACTTAAAATAAAAAATTTACAAGCTCAAGTTTTATACTCAAGCTACTTACTTCTCCTGAAGTTCTGCCACTGCCAGTCGGTCAGCATCAGGATCTGTGGCAAGCACTATCTGGGCATTTTCTTTCTCTGCCAGTCTCAGAGAAAGTTCCTGAAACAGTGAACCCAGAAGTTAGATTATACTGAAGAGCCTAAACTTAAGATTAATATTCCTCAGATAGGCACTATGTTAATGATATAAATTTTAAAAGGCAGATGATTTGGCTAAATTTAGAATAAGAAGCCTAGAACTAGGGACACCCACCATAAAGATTTCAAACAAAACATAACCTATGGCTCAAATACAATTCAATAGATACAAACTACAGTAGTTTGCATATAGTATACAAAGGATGTAAGTAATCTTCGAATTGTTGGTAAGCTTCATCTATATTTTTGGCTAACAAATGAAATAAGTTAAATATTTTTAAAAATACCAGCACAGATTCTCCTTCTTCAGGATTTGGGCATTTAACAGTAGAAAAGTCTGGATCAGGATCTTTTTGTTCTGGTACTGGAATTGGAGGCTTAAAACCAAACACTTGAAAAGCCAGTTGCACATAATCATGTCCAACTCCATGAAAGGATGTATGCACAAATTTTAAGGTGGTCTTTGAATTTAATTCCCTGTAAAAAAATTACCATTGAGTCAATATCATAAAACTTGCTTTTCCTGTGACATAGTTAAAAACACTTAAATTCTGAGAAAAAGTAATTATAGCTTATAGCAGAGGTCTAAGATAGATTTGTGTGTGTGTGCTAGGGTTCCATACATGGTAAGCAACTATCCTGGTACTGGGCTAACATCCTAGTCCTATTCAAAAGACCTTAAATCAAATGCATTCTCCTTTAGTGGTTCAACTTTCTGACTTGGGTTTCTCCCTGCCATATGGAGTGGCATTATCCTAAGTAAGCCTCCATTGTATCTCTTACCAAAACCACTACAACCGGTCTTTCTCATTCCCTAGAAGACTCTTTCTGTCTTCTTTCATGTACAGCTCAGATCCCACTGAACCTAACTTTAATCATTTTTTGTCATTTTGGTTACCTTGACTCTCTAATATCTCAATGCGTACTTCTCCAGACTTGCAGTAAATAGCTAATTATTGCATCAGTAAACTTCACAAAGAAGATTGAATAGTTTCACTCTCAGACATTCAACTCTATCAGGAAATCCTAAATTGTTACTCCAAAAGTTTCCTATTTTGCTTGCCAAAATGATATAATATCTCCTCTTCTTCCTCCTTTCTTCTCTCTTCATGTAATGCATCATTGAGACACAGAAACCCAATGATGGGAAGCTCTCAGTCTTCTCACACCAAATCCACAACCAATACCATCTATCAATATCTCTTTCTTTGTCCATCTGACAACAATGAGTCCCCTCTGGTCCCCACACCCTCCCAAGAACATTAGTACTTCAGTTACTCTCCCCCTCTCTTTCTCTCTCTCTCCTACCCTCTACATTTCCTTTAGCATCCAGTCCAATTTCTTTGGTCTCTTCCACAGCAAAGCTTTCTCTATCCTTACTTACTATTTACTAACTGCTCCCAATAATAACAAAATTTATTAAAATAAGTAAAATCTGGGTGCTGGTGGCTCACAACTATAATCACAGCTACTCAGGTAGTTGAGATCTGAGGATCATGGTTCAAAGCCAACCCAGGAGGAAAGTCTGTGAAACTTTTGTCTCCAATTAAGCATTCAAAAAAGCCAGAAGTGGAGCTGGGGATCAAGTAGTAGAACACTAGCCTTGAGTGGAAAACTCTCAGGGACACACCCAGGCCCTGTTCAAGCCTAGGAACAGCACAAATAATAAAATAATAAATCTTATTATAAAATAGATAAAAAAATTGTTAGGATAATTTTCAAAATAGTTTAAATAGTCACAAGAATACCCAGCAACCATATATTTAATACCTACTTCAACATTCTTAACATTGTGGTTAGTTTCATTTATTTAAGATACCATGTTATTTTACATAAGAATGAACTAGTATTTAATGGAGGTAGGAATGTGGCTTAGTAGTAGAATGCTTGCCTAGCATGAACGAAGCCCTGGGTTCCATTCTTCAGTACTATATCAACAGAAAAACTGGAAGTGGAGCTGTGGCTCAAGTAGTAGAGTACTAGCCTTGAGCAAAAGACGCTCAGGGACAGTGCCCAGGGCCTGAATTCAAACCCCAGGACTGGCAAAAAATAAAAAATAAAAAAAATTAGTATTTAAAAACATAATCATACCATTAACCACATCAAATAAAACAAGTTCTTAATATTGTCTAATACCCTATTTTCAAAATTCAAGTTCCAGTACTAGCACAAAAAAAATTAGCATCAACTACTTGATGATCAACTATTCAATCTCTGGTCAGTGGTAGCTTTTTCCCAGTTATTAGCAACTGCTGATCTATTTTTAGCCCCATTTCTAGCTCCTCAGATTTGTCTATTCTGGGTGTATCACAGAAATGGAATATGTGGCTCTTTGTAACTAGCTTTTTTTTTTTTTTTTTTTGGGTGCTAGTCCCGGGGCTTGAACTTAGGGCCCAGGTGTTGTCCCTGAGCTTTTTTTGCTCAAGGCTAGTGTTTTATCACCTGAACCACAGTTCCACTCCTGGCTTTTTTGAGTGCTTAATTCCAGAAAAAAGTTTCACAGCCTTTCCTGCCTAGGCTGGCTTTGAACCACAATCCTCAGATCCTCAATCTCCTGATATTACAGGTTTATAAGCATGAATCACAAGTGCTTGGTTGTACTGGTCTCTTTTACTTGTTTTAAGGTTTTATTTTATTATAGTATCTATCAGCACTCCATTTCTGTTTACTGCTCGGTTTTATGTAATTGTATGGCTACTGCATTTTATTTGGCCATAATTATTTATCCATAATTTGGTTTACTTCTACTTTGGGTTATTGTGAGTACTGTTATTTAGCCATAATTTTATTTTATTTGTCGGTTGTGGGGGCTGAACTCTGGGCCTGGGAGCTATCCTTCAGCTCTTCAGCTCAAGGCTAGTACCCTATCACTTGAACCACAGCGCCACTTCTGGCTTTTTTCTGCGTATGTGGTACTGAGGAATCAAACCCAGGGCCTCATGCATGCAAGGCAAGCACTCTACCACTGAGGCAACCTCCTAGTCCCTAGCTATAATTTTAATATGATGAACAGCTAACACATTTCTCTCACTTATTCTTCCCTCACTTGTTATTCTTATCCTAAGGTAATCCTGCCCTGCATTCTCACTTGTATACCTGTGAAAACAGATCTTTTTCAGATCTTCCATATATCTCCTGCAAATGTCCTGCAGTGGGTCCTTCTTCAATGGGCTGGTGTCCACTAAATTATCATTCCATGAACCATTCCAGGGTTCCACACATTCTTCTATACACTTCAAAATTTCTTTATCATGAGGTGATGTTATTTGAGCACCATTTTCCCAGTAAACCTAGATGATTAGGTAAATATAGCTATAATTATTTAAAATGCTTGTCATCTTTGCTTTATAAAGAAGAGTATAATATTAATCAAGTAAAAAACCATATTTAATATATACTATGTAAAAAATAAACTATGCAACTTGTGGGAAGGTATAGGAAGGGGGAAATGGGTGACACTGTCCAAGAAGCATTGTACTTATTTTCTGACTTATGGAATTATAACCCCATGGAACAATTTCTTAATAATTAAAAAAAATCAGCATGGACTAATTTAGTAATACACCAAAAGATACTGATGGTAATGATTACACAGGAAATCACTAAAAATTATTATGTATTATTTCTGTTTTTAGAATTTACTCTACTAATAATACAAGTAAATATAAGCAGGTATAATTTGATCATATTAGAATAGACAAATACCAATAGTGGATTTAGTGGATTTATTCCTACATGTTAAGGTATAATGTAAGAAGTTATGAAATATCCTATAAAGCTTTGCAGTATTATACTAAACGTTACAAAATGAAATAATTTTCCATTATTATGATTTATTTAAAATTAAACAAAATATATACAAAACAGCCAATTAACGTATTTATTATTCATTGGTTTTTACACCACCAAGATATTCTAGTATTTCATCTCCAGATCCCTTTTTTTCCCCCTTTTTTGTTAAAGTTAATATTCCCAGGGATCTATTTTTGACTTATTTTCTTTCTACCCTATCCTATTTCTTGGCTTCCAAATACTTTTATATGCTGTAATATGTGTGCTACCCCAAAATCTGTAACTTCAGCCTAGACTTCTTCTTTCAGTTACAGATCTCATATCTAACTCTTCATGACATTGCTGTCTGGTTGAGCCACAAATATCTCAAACTTAATATACTCCAAACTTCTTTCCTGTGTCTGTGAATGGTCACACTAGCACTTAGCTGGACAGGCCCTACATCTTAGATTAGTATTAAAAAAATTTTCCCAGTTAAAATAGAGCTCAGTATGTCTGGAATCTCCTACACACACACACACACACACACACACACACACACACACACACACACACACACACTACACACACACACACACACACACACACGAATATGGAATCTCCTACACACACACACACACACAAATATAAGAATATGAGCTCATTATCCAAAAGTCCCGAACCACTGACTCAATACTGTGCTACACATCTATTTCCTTCCAGAGCCACTTTTCATCCCTTACCACTCTGCTTTCTGCCACAGAGGCTGACAAAGCAAATGAATCCTGGGATATTGGGGGGCCTGGACAGAAGGTCGGAGGGAGGGGAAAGTGAGCTTTCTGACTTTCTTCTTCAGAACTCCCATTAATTTGTCACATTCTTGAGATAACATAATTTTAGAGAGGATCATTTTGGGGAAATTAGAAGGAAAAAGACCAATGAAGAGATCTTCATAATTACACATATTGAGAAGCAGAAATGGGCATTAGGAATACTACTACATTGTGTGAAGATGGACCCCTCACTGTTTTTATCTTTCTATCATATATCTGTCTTTACTCCCTAGTGTAGAAAAGACACTTAACAATCAAATAAGAGCTTTAAAAAAGGTTTTACCCAGGTTTACCTTGTATCCATTGTCTTCCTTGCGATTGTGAGATGCAGTAATCATCACGCCTGCAACTGCTTTGAGCTCCTGGACTGCATATGGCTGAAAAATAATATTACCAATTCACTATGCTTCCTAACCATTCACACATTTGATAGGAGAGTACCTTTGACTAACTGAAGAAAGCATTATGGTATAAATGACAACACCTCATCAACTCCAGATTTGTGAGTGGGGTCCAGTTCTAAAATGTGACTCAAGAACCATTCAATTATTAGACTGGCCTTTCTCCTCCATCTCCTTTGGTTTAGTTTAAACATTTGTTATCTTTTTATCCACTTAACAGTTATAATTTTTTTAACCTATACTGTATTTATTATGCATACCTTTTAATTTATTTGTGCCTTTTTTTTTGTCAGTTGTGGGGGTTAAACTCTGGGCTTGGGCACTGTTTTGAGCTCTTTAGCTCAAGGCAAATGCTCTACCTCTGAGCCACAGTACCACTTCTGGTTTTTTGAGTGTGCTTTATTGGAGATAAGAGTCTCAACAGACTTTCCTGCTCCAGCTGGCTTTGAACCATGATCCTCAGATCTCAGCCTCCAGAGTAGCTAGGATTACAGGCATGAGTTGTTTTTTTTTTTTTTTTATTTCTCTAGAGAGCTAAATTTTGCCTCTATTAGTATCTTCCCTTCCTTTCCTTCTCCATTCCATCTTCTCCTTACTTCTTTTCTATTCTCGTCCCTTCTTCCTCCATCCCTTCTTTCTCTCTTGCCTTTCTTTTTTATATTGGGGTTTGAATTCAGGACCTCAAACTTGCTTGGTAGGCAATTTAGTATTTGAGCCACATCTCTTGCTTTTTATTTTCTATTTACTTATTTTCTTCTTATGTCTTACACTATGTTATTCCTTTTACTTAACTTAAATTTACTGTTTTTAACACAATCATATTAAAGGTTTAGCTCATTTTAAACTCTGTTTTACCTAATAAATGTGTCCAAAGTATAAATTTACATTTTAGGAGAGATTAACTCTGTTGCATAATTTTTTCTGTTTGTTGACTATGCTTTGCATAGTCCAAATTTTGAATACCACATTTTTGTTAAATAATACCAGTCTCCTAACATGTTCAAACTTCAGCTGACACTATGAATAGAACATATCCATCATGGCCAATGACTAATCATCAGTCTTTTTTTTTTTTTTGTCAGTAGCGGGGCCTGAATTCTGGGCCTGGACAATGTCCTTCAGCTCTTCAGCTCAAGGCTAGCACTCTACCACTTGAGCCAGAGCACCACTTCCAGCTTTTTCTGTTTATGAGGTGCTGAGGAATCAAACCCAGGGCCAAGGATTAATAATGGCCAAGGATCATCCCTCATTCCCAAAAGGGACCACAAAGATTTTCACAAACACTGATAATGGCTGTCTTTATGACAATGAACCTGTATTAAAACAAGGATTGTCTACAGTTCTTCATCTTTGTTATATTTTCCTTCAATAATGAATTATTAATGAAGTATATTTTAAAAATTCCAAACAGAAGAGGTTTTATGGACTTTTTACCTCTAATTTTACTGTATCAGTGCCTAGGTATATGGCTTGAAAAGAAGTCTTTTATATTTGCTGAGACTTCCTTTGTGATTTGGCTAGTAATGATGTGCGTGCTATCATCATTGAAAATAGGATTTTTACACATATAACCCAGCTCAAACTGGCTCTTGGTATGTACAAATCTATCTATAATTGTTTGTGTCAGCCCCCAAAATCAATTTCTGAAAGTCCACTCATGTCTGAATTTGTCACCTTTTATAGATCCAGTTATTTTATTTTTTTTGGTGCTAGTCTGGGGCTTGAACTCAAGGCCTGGGTGCTATCCCTTAGCTTTTGTGCTCAAGGGTAATGTTCTACCACTTTGAACCACAGGGCCATTTTTGGCATTTTTTTTGTAGTTAATTAGAGATAAGAGTCTTATGGACTTTCCTGCCCAGGCCGTCTTTGAATAGCAATCCTCAGATCTCAGCCTCCTGAGTAGCTAGGATTATAGGTGTGAGCCACTGGCACCCAGCCAGATCCAATTCATAGATGGTTGAAATGAAAATAAATTCAGAACAGAATGTGTTTTCCTTCCTTTAGCTCCTCATGTCACTCAATACAGAGCTATGCACATGACAAAAATTGGAATCTTAGTTGATTTGAGAAATCTTTTTCAGGGCAGCAAACTAGCACAAAATACTTACTACAAAAGGTGTAGGAACATATCTTGAAAAAAGGTAAACAGGAACATCTCTAGCCAGCAAGACTGCAGCAGTGAGTTTAGCAAGCCTAAGGGGAAAAAAAGAGAAGACTTCACTTAGTTTTTAGCTTAATTTTTAAAAATAATCTTAAACATGGTAATTGTTTCATGTAAGTTATCTGAATATATGGTAGCTTTACATCTTGCAATAGGATAAGCTGGCTTCTAACTTACAACTCTCCTGCTGAATCTCCTTTGTGCTGGGATTAAAAGCATGTACCACCACATCTAGACAATCCTTCTTAAAATCACTGATTATTTATGCTGTACGCATCATTTGAAAATGTTAATTAAGATTTTAATGAAAGGGATGTAGCTCAATGATAGATCACCTGCTTAATATATGCAGGGTTTTCCATCTATCCCCAGCTCTATGTATATCAAAATAAAAACAAAAAAAAACTTTAAAAACTTAAAAGAGCTTAACAATGAACTGGATTAACATTATAACTCAGGCTCCAGTTCTGTAATCCTAACTCCTCAAGAGGGTGAAAGAGGACTGGAGCAGAAAAGTCTGAAAGACTCCATCTTTAATTAATTATCAAAAAGTAGGGCTGGAGGTGTGGCTCAAGTGGCAGAGTGCCAATGTGAGCAAGTGAGAGAGAACATGAAGCCCTCAGTTCAAGCCTGGTACCAGGAAAAAGGAAAAAGAAAAATACAACTGACACTATAATACTTTTCCTCTTGTTCATTTTTGATGGCTTTTGAACTATAAAATAAAACCTAACAGGTAATAAGAATGGAGCAAGTGAAATAAAATAAATTCTAAATATACAATTACTCTCTGAAAAACAATTACTCCCTTATTATTAATGTATCAAGATTATCAAGTTATGAAAATGCTCTAAAATGAAGCAAAAAAGATTATATGAATACAAGCTACATAACTACTCATAAGTTTACTAAAAATTAACATTATACTATACACTAAGATATCATTTTAAATGTGAACTCTCATATTTCTTTTTTTCTAATCTTTAATTTTTTTTTTTTGCAGTACTGAGGTTTGAAGTGAGGCTTCATGCTTGCTAGGCAGGTACCACTTGAGCTATGTCCTCACCTCACCTGTCTTCTTTTTGTAAAATCTAAAGCTTATCTTTGAAACTCTTTTGCTCTAAATAAACAGCATGTAATCATATTTCCATTTGAAATTCTCCTGTTTCAGAAATACTACTATTAGCAAATGAAAGAAAAATCAAATGCTTTATTCCACTCCTCCTTCATCTTTGAAACAATAATAACATCATACCTTTGGCTGCTGCAGCTGCTAGTTACTTGACCTCGAGTGTCATATCCAACAACAAAGCCTCTCTGCTTGAAGTCTGAAAAACATCTTTCTAGATATTTGTACATTCCCTGAAGCAAATATATGCAAAAGATTAGCTACTGGTAAATGCTTGCATTTTAATAATCCCTACCTACCTACCCCATCTTTTTACCAGTACTAGGGATAAACCCAGGGCCTCAAGCATGTTAGACAAATACTCTACTATTGCTATATCCCAGCTCCAATGATGGCATTGCGTAAGATTTTAAAATCTCATAGCTTTTGCTGTTGTACTGTTTATTGGCTCCAGGGAACTGCCTTCTGCCTGTATGCTCAGGCTCTCTAATGTGGGAACATTTTTGCTTCATCTACAATGAGGAGATGACAAACATTTCTTGGATTTTCAGACATACTTAATACTAAAGAAATATCAATTTAGTACTCACTAAATCCAATCCTAAACATAAAACATGAGGGGAAAAATGGGACATGAAATCAATAAGTTAAAAAAAAAATTGCCGGGTGTGGTGGCTCAAGCCTGTAATCCTAGCTACTCAGAAGGCTGAGATCTGAGGATCACGGTTCAAAGCCAGCCTGGGCAGGAAAGGCTGTGAGACTCTGATCTCCAATAAACCACTAGAAAACCAGAAGTGGCACTGTGGCTCAAGTGGCAGAGCACTAGCCTTGAGCTGAAGAGCTGAGGGATAGCAGAGTTCAAACCACAAAAAAAAAAAAAAAAAATCAACAACAACCAAAAACCCCAACAAACATTAGAAGAGTCCAAAATTTTGACCATCAGAGATCCTTTCTAAATCATAAGACCAAAACTAACTCAAAGATTTGACCTATTTATGACAAATATGTTACATCATCACCATAGTTCTCCAATATTTCTTTCTTTTTTTTTTCTTTCTTTTTTTTTTTTTAGCCATTCCTGGGGATTGAACTCAGGGCCTGGGTGTTATCCTTGAGCTTCTTTTACTCAAGGCTAGTGCTACACTACTGAGTCAGAACTCCATTTCCAGCCTTTTTAGTAGTCAAGTATGATAATTTTTCCCAATAGAGATAGATTTTTTAAATAGGCCAATTGGGTTAGTTTTGCCAATTTATTTCTGATGAGAGTACTGTTTAAAACTGTAAAGGGCCTTATTCTCTGCTGTAATAATTAATTTTATTTTATCCTCTTCTATCTAGAGTCTGAAAAGGGTTAGGCCTTAAGACAGATTCCATGTGGTTTTGAGTACGAGAAAATTCAATATATATATAAACTGAATGAAAAGCATTTCTGACCAAGGACTAGAAAAGAGATAGGGATGGGGCAGAGACAGAGGCACATATCCTACCTATTGTTTATTATCTCTTCTCCATCCATTATACTTACCTTCAATTCTCTTCAGAGGAAGGCTAAATATGATTTACCACTTGGTAATACTGATTACAATTGTGTCTACTGAGATACTTTATAACCCAGAACTATTTTTTTTTGGGGGGGGGGCCTGATCATGGGGCCTGAACTCTGGGCCTGGGCGCTGTCCCTCAGCTCTTCAGCTCAAGACTAGCACTCTACCACTTGAGCCACAGTGCCACTTCCCGCTTTTTTCTTTTTGCTTATGTAGTGCTGAGGAATCGAACCCAGGGCCTCATGCATGCAAGGCAAGTGCTCTACCACTGAGCCACCTTCCTAGCCCCCAGAACTATTTTTAGTGTATACTAAATGTATTATTGGCCTCAAAAGTATAACTCTTAAAGTGGTAAAGATGATTTGCTGGGAAGAGAAAAAAATGTGTTTCCAAAATGCTAGGCATAAAGATGGAGAAAAATTACAACTGTCTTAAAAGAACTCTCAAATGGATGTGAAAAACCATGTTTAAGTGAATATTTTAAACTCAATTTTCTAAATATTCTGGTTAACTTTCCCGAATAGCATATGCCAAAAAAGTAATAATCTTCCTAGGTCTGTTTCTTTAGATTAATTAGATATGTCAGTATTCATTTCTTGGTTTAAAATGCAAAGTAACACTGTCAAGAAGTTGACATTGTCAGAAATAACAATTATAAAGTTAGTTTATGGCCTTGAAGATAGATAATTTACTTCTAAGACAGGCCTTGAGTAAGACCAAAGGTCACAATTTGGTCTACACTTTTTACTTACATGAGAATACCTTTTTGGACAAAATGATTTCTTCTATTTATTTATTTATTTTGGTCCAGTCGTGGGCCTGAACTCTGGGCCTGGGCGCTGTCACTCAGCTCTTCAGCTCAAAGGTAGCACTCTACCACTTGAGCCACAGTGCCACTTCCAGCTTTTTTCTTTTTTTTTTGCTAATGTGGTGCTGAGGAATTGAACCCAGGGCCTCATGCGTGCAAGGCAAGCGCTCTACCACTGAGCCATCTTCCCAGCCCAAAATGATTTCTTATTTATTTTGGGGGGGGGGGGTGGTTATGAATAGTATTTTTATTTCTGATTCTATCTCCACTGAAAATTATTTCTTTTTTTATTGTGAAAATACTGTACAGAGGGGTTACAATTACATGGGCAAGATAATGAGTACATTTCTTATCAAGCATTGTAGCTTCCTCCTTTGTTTCCCCTCCCCCATCCTCCCCCCCGCCCCCCCAATCCCCCTCTCCCCTCACCAAAGTTGTAAAGTTCGTTTTCGACATAACGACTTGTACATCTCATTGTTGCAATGGGTCCACCTGTATCCCTATTTATCCCTGTATCCCTGTTTTTTCCCTTCCCCTCCACAAATTATAATTTTATCAAAGAAAAGCACTAATTTATACAGGCTTTGTCCCAGCCTATGGTTCTACTGGAAGGTGGAGGGAACTTTAAGAGGTGTGTCTATTTGAGGAAGTTGATCATTGGAGGCATGCACTTGAATAGAGGAATGGGACATTAGACCTTTCATAACTTTCTTCTTGCCTTCTTAGCTGCCATGAGATGAATAGCTTCCTCCATTTCATACTCTTGCCCAAAGGCAACAAGCCTAAGAAACTATGGGCTAAAATATTTGAAACCATGAGCCAAAATAAACCTTTCTTATCAGTTCTCAGGTGTTTTTTGTTTTTTGTTTGCCAGTTATGTGGCTTGAACTCAGGGCTTGGGTGCTATTACTGAGCTAGCACTCTACCACTTTGAGCCACAGCGCCACTTCCAGTTTTCTTGCAGTTAATTGAAGAGTTTTATGGACTTAAAAAAATAATAATTTATAAAGCAAGATAATGAAGTGAGAAAAGGACATATATAATAGCTATAAACCATACCTGTGTTGATTGTATTACTGTAAGGTCATTAATATAACAAAAGCCTGCCCCCATGGCAGATCGAAGCCCCGCAGTTCCAAAAGTCATCCGGCAACAAAGACGATCTCGTAGTTCCTTGTTCATCCCATTCCGTAACAGAGTCTCAATCTGCTCTTTTGTTTTGGGATTCTATTAAAAAACAAAACAAAAAGATAATCAGGATCAAGGGTTTTAATATCAAACCCTCTGAGAACCCAATGTAGACTCAATGTTGTATATTCAATAAGATAAGGGAATATTCAGAATTATAAAACAAGGTACCTAAAAGGTGCTAGATATTAGAGTATGTTTGTACTTGTAAAGACATAAAATGTATTAATATATAAGCTAAATGGAAGTTTTCTGGTTATAGTAGAAATTAAAATAACTGGAGTACACAATCAAACTAATGAGAAGACACACAGATAATCTACTAACTATAATTTTAATCTGCTCAAAATTGATGAATATTTACATATCTATATAGACAGAGATATAGAATCTATAGATAAAAACCTATCTACATATAGGTATCTACAGATAAAGAGTTTACATTTTAAACATGTCACACACACTAACAACTATAGCATACATAAAAATATGAACAGCCATTAAGAGAAAATTCTAACCAATGACAATTATCTGAGCTACAAACATATTCCCATGTCTATTATATGACCAGAATTGATACATTAAAGAAATTTGAGGAAAGCTATTTAAAAATAGGCAGGACAGCAAAAACTGAATGGGGTTTTGTTAGGTAGACAGTTCATCTGGTATTATATATCATCTGGTCATATAATTAGAGACACTTTAACTGGGGTGGTCTGTCAGTGATTTTTCATCAAAGTATTGAACTGCACATGGCTTTTGGCTCACAGATTATTCTGTCCACAGCAATGACTTCACTTCACATGAACAAACATTTGTCCATATGTGAGCATCAAGAAACCAAGATTTACAGAGAAAGCCTAGTAGCACGAAGCTAGTACTGGAGATTTAGACAGGATTGAAACCCAGGATAGTCTGGCTCTATAGCCTAAACCATCTTAACAAAATAATTTTATCAAGCACCTAAATAATGCTTCAAATAATAATTTAAAACAAATTGTACTAAAGCAAAACAATATTTGTTTGTACTAGAGCTATGTAAACAGAAAATTGATCTGCCAGACATAAATTCAATTAGTTTATTGAATATACTTCCTAATGTATAATTGCAGATACTAGAACAGGGCCTAAGAATTCCATTCCCTATTACGAATCTAAGCAGCCAATACTAACCTAATTTTTGCTTATCTTAAAAGCTGGTGAGAGAGAAATAAAAATGTATAGAAAAATCATGACTCATTACACAAAAAGTAAACTTGTATGATAAAAAGAGCTAAACAACTATACGCCGGGCACTGGTGGCTCACGCCTGTAATCCTAGCTACTCAGGAGGCTGAGATCTGAGGATCGCGGTTCAAAGCCAGCCCGGGCAGGAGAGACCCTGAGACTCCTACCTCCAATAAACCACCAGAAAACCAGAAGTGGCGCTGTAGCTCAAGTGGTAGAGCGCTCGCCTTGAGCTGAAGAGCTGAGGGACAGCGCCCAGGCCCAAAGTTCAAGCCCCATGACCGACAAAAAAAAAAAAAAAAAAAAAAAAGAGCTAAACAACTATAATAAAAATCATTCAAAATCAATTTTAAATTCAGACTTCCCCAGAACTTAACGGATAGGTATTAAATTACATGTTTTTCACAAACCTTAAAAATATAACTTAAATATGTGATTGGGTGTGGTAATACATACTTGTAATCCTAGCTACTCAGAAGGCAGAGTCAGAAGAATCATCATTCAAGGCAAGCCAGGACAAAAGTTAGCAAGAGTCTATCTCAAGAACAAGCTGGGTATGGTGACATACACCATAATACCAGCTTCTCAGTGGCTAAGGTAGGAGGATAATGGCCCAAGGCTATCCCATAAAAGAGCATGAGGGGAAAACAATGGAGGGGGTAACAATGTTCAAGAGGAAGTGTACTCATTACCTCACTCATGTAACTGTAACCCTCTGTATAGTAGCTTTACAATAAAATAAAATTAAAAAAAAAAAAAAAAGAGCATGAGGCCCTATCTGACAAAAATATTTTACTGTTGTTGTTGGTCACTTGAATTTGGGGGACCTGGACACTGTTCCTGAGCTTTTTTGCTCAAGGCTAGCGCTCTACCACTTTAAGCCACAGTACCACTTCCAGTTTTTTGGTAGTTAACTGGAGATAAGAATCTCATGGAGGGCTGGGAAGGTGGCTCAGTGGTAGAGTGCTTGTCTTGCATGCCTGAGGCCCTGGGTTTGATTCCTCAGCACCACATAAACAGAAAAAGCCGGAAGTGGCTCTGTGGCTCAAGGAAGTGGCTCTGTGGCTCAAGCGTTAGAGCGCTTGCCTTGAGCTGAAGAGCTGAGGGACAGCGCCTAGGCCCAGAGTTCAGGTCCACAACGGGCAAAAAAAAGAATCTAATAACTAGTCATTTTAAGCCGGGCGCTGGTAGCTCACGCCTGTAATCCTAGCTACTCAGGAGGCTGAGATCTGAGGATCGCGGTTCAAAGCCAGCCCAGACAGGAGAGACCGTGAGACTCCTATCTCCAATAAACCACCAGAAAACCAAAGTGGTGCTGTAGCTCAAGTGGTAGAGCGCTCGCCTTGAGCTGAAGAGCTGAGGGACAGTGCCCAGGCCCAGAGTTCAAGCCCCACGACCGACAAAAAAAAAAAAAAAAAAAAATCAAAGAATCTCATGGACTTTCCTGCCTGGGCTGGCTTTGAACCAAGATCCTAAGTATGATCTCAGACTCCTGCGTAGTTAGAATTACAAATGTAAGCCACTAGCACCCAGCCTGATAAAAAGGACTGGAGGAGTGGTTCAAGTGGTGGAGTACCAAACACAACACAAGGCCCTGTGTTAATCCCCAGTACTTGCAAAAACAAACAAAGCTATCTATAGCCATAAATATTTTGTATTTTCCATTCAAATAAATGAAATTACATTTGTATTTTATTGCTAAAATCTTGAGATCACTATAATTTAAATACATTGATGTAAAGATCTAAGAAACTATAAGCAAATCATTTTATTTTATTTTATTTATTTATTTTTTGAGTCCAGTCGTGGGGCCTGAACTTTGGGCCTGGGCGCTGTCCCTCAGCTCTTCAGCTCAAGGCTACCGCTCTACCACTTGAGCCACACCGCTACTTCTGGCTTTTTTCTTTTTGCTTATGTGGTGCTGAGGGATGAACCCAGGGCCTCAGGCATGCAAGGCAAGCACTTTACCACTGAGCCACCTTCCCAGCCCTAAGCAAATCATTTTAAACTGCAATTTCTATGCCAAATCTCCAAGATAATAAATAAAAGGGAAAACAAAAGAGTATACAGAATATTTTAACTTCTATAAAAAGATGCATGTGTATATTTATTTAGCATCCAGACACATTCTATATTAAAAAAAGGAAAGAGAAACTAAAAATAGCAATTACCTCTAAAGGAGATATCAGGGACAGGATCTGAGGTCCTAAAGTAGCTTTTTATATTTGTTATGTTAGCTATGGTATCATGGGCCTATATGTACTTTACATCTCACAAATTGCCCCCCTTTTCATACCCATAGAGAGCTATTAGTAAGACCTGAAGCTATAAAAACATAGATTGAGGGGCTGGGATGTAGCTCAGTGGCAAAGCACTTGCCTAGCAAGTGCAACTTCCTGGGTTCGATCCCCAGTACCAAAAAAGAAAAGACAAAAAAAAATACAGTTAAAAAAAAATAGATTGAAGCTTTCTTACATAAAAATGCTTGTTTACTCTCTAAACATGCTCTCATTTGTAATTCACTCATTACTTAAGGAGATTAACAGCACAAAAATAGAAGAAAATTGTTCAATAGATGTCAATTCTTTTAAAAAGTATTTCTATCTGTTGAAAATGAACTATACAATTTTTGGGTGGGATGGGAGGGAAAAACTGAGAGAAAGCAAGGGAGAGGGTGATACTGTCCACAAAGAAATGTACTCTCTACATGACTGATATAATCGTAACCTCTCTGTACCTCACCTTTGTAATATCAATAGAGAAATAAAAAACACCTCTAAAATTATTATGAAGGTTAGTAGGAAAGCTATTTGATTTACATACTTTTGGAATATACTTACTGACCTATTGCACAAAATGAAATTAATTGTAAACAGTTTCAATCTGAAGTTTGCTTCTAACTAGCATTTATTAGAATCTTAATAATTTTAGTATCCCCCAAAAGAAATTCTACAGAATATCTAAAGAGATCTTAGTGACTACTAGCATTTTCTGTACTTGATCAGTAATAAACCTAATTTTTAGTATGAAATCAGTAAGTTAAATAATACAGAACTAAAACCATGCATCATTTTCAAATGTTACTTGTATAACAAAAATTTTCCCTTATGTTCTAATCCTACGGAGTGCTGCAACTTTATATGGCTGAAATGAAGAAAAGAAAGTATCTTCTTAAATAATACACGTGGAGTTTTTTTTCCCATATGAAGAACCATGAAGTCAATATTCAAAGAGATTATAAAATATTTTTTTTTTTTAAAGATACTTTAAGTGCAGGACATGGTGGCTCAAGCTTGTAATCCTAGCTACTTGAGAAAAAGAGAGGGAGAGGTCCGGGAATGTGCTTAGTGGGGGCCAGGAATGTGTCTTAGGGATAGTGTGCTTGCCTAGCATGCATGAAGTCCTGAATTCGATTCCTCAGTACCACATAAACAGAAAAGGCTGGAAGTGGCACTGTGGCTCCAAGTGGTAGAGCACTAGCCTTAGAGAAAAATGAAGCTCATGGATAGTGTGCAGGCCCTGAGTTCAAGCACCAGGACACAAAAGAGGGGGGGGGGGGAGAGGGAGAGAGGGAGAGAAAGAGAAGGAAAGAGGGAGAGAGGGGAGAGATACACAGTTTGAGACCAGCCTAGGCAAAAAAAAAAAAAAAAAATAGGTGAGGTTTGGGCTGGGAAGGTGGCTCAGTGGTAGAGTGCTTGCCTTGCATGGATGAGGCCCTGGGTTCGATTCCTTAGTACCACATAAGTAGAAAAGGCTGGAAGTGGCACTGTGGTTCAAGTGGTAGAGCACTAGCCTTGAGCTGAAGAGCTGAG